AAGGTGTCCCTGCCCATGGCAGGGGGTGGCACTGGATGGGCTTTGAGGTCCCTCCCAACCCAACCCAGTGTGTGAAATGATGCTCCACCACAGCCAGGCTGGGATCTAATGATGGAGTTAAAAGCAATCTCTGTGCTGCTGTGACCTGTCCCCTGGTCACAAACCCAGCAGTTCCCTCTGCTGCTCCCAGATAAAGCTCTGCCATTCCAGGGTTTTCTAGAGCCTTTCCTGGGGTCACGTGTGCTGGGCCTCCCCTCCCTTCTGCTTCTGAATTTCTGACTTCAAGTTTCCACTGGTTCCTCCACACGTTTGTGTCAGAAACGTTGAGCATCATGTGCTGCTTCCTGGGATTTCCCCTTCACCTCTCCCCAGGGAGTGTTTTTGTGCTGCCAACACTTGCTTTCTTTTGGTGTTTTTTTTAGTACATTTTGTTATGTAATCATTGTTATTTTCAACCTTATTTATTAACGGTATTGCTTTAAATATTATGAATTAAGTAGTGCTGTTTGTTTATTAGAACAGTTGTGTGTTTATTGTAGTTTGGCAGGGGAAGGAGGTGGGCAGTTGTGTAAAAGCATTTCTGCTCTTTAATCTCTTCTTTCCCTAAAAGTCTAATCCCTTAAAATGGTTTCCTCAGCAACAAAGTGTCATCGTGTTTTAAGTGAATAAACAGGAATTAATTTTAAATATCTGGCTTTTAATCATTAATAAAATAAACCTAAGGAGTCTTGATTTTAGCTGTTACTTTGCTTATCTGGTTACTGTCTAAATCATTGAATCTCTTGCTGATTAAGCAGAGAAATTCATTCCTGGTTAGTTATTCACTGGGATTTGAGAAGTTAATTTGGGGAAGCAAACACAAAACTTACTGAAAATAGGGAAATGTATGAAAGGGTGGATCCCATAGTCATGTCTTTAGTATAGAGAACAAATGTCATGTTAAATCAACCTGAATTTCTGCTATTCTAAGATAAAAGGAGTTCCACTTCCCTGTATTTTGGTTTACTATTACTTTTGAATCTGTAGTTTGGATTTTTATATATATATATATATATATATATATATATATATATAATCTCCTAAGCATGCCAGAGAAAATATTCTGTGTTAAGCTGCTCCAGGATGGTTTTTCCAGCTCCTCACAGTTTTGGGGGTTTTTTGTGTTTTTCTGTAGAAAACTCCCAAAGGTATTGGGGCAGTGCTAATTAGAAGGGAGAGGTTGTGTCTCTTGTAAATTAGACTTGATGAATTAATTTCAGCTGGATTATTCTGATTTTTTTTAACACTGCTTCAAGCAAGTTCAACCATTTGGAAAGAATAGGAAAGAAAGCAATAAAATTCCTTCAGGAAACAGGAAGTTTGGCTTAGGAGGAAAACCTAAAGAATTGTTGCTGCCATTCAGTTTTCTCTTTGTTGTGAGTCATATTTAATAGAGTTTTCAGATATGTCTGACATAAAAATTAATGTGCTTTAATAACAAGAGGCAGAAAGGACAAGGGGTGGAACTGGATGAGCTTTGAGGTCCTTCCCACCCAAACCATGGGATTCCATGAAGTCTATAAGGAATTTATAGGATATATATTATAGTAAATTTTCTGTTTTACTCCCTGAATTCCATATAAATTTCTAACTTTTGGTTGGAACACGAATCTTGACATGATTTTCTTCCATTTTCCCAAACTTCCTTTTCCCTCTCTAATAAATATCGTTGCAAATAAAATAAATAAATATCCTTCTGCACAGAAGTTAAGGATTTGAAAATGTGAGAAAGATACTCCGAATATTTGATTTTTCTGCCCAAGGCAAACAAAAATAACAGTCTGAAAATGCAG